AGATAAGCAAAACTCACCTATTAAATATAGAAAAAGACTTCGCTCCTTAATGGTGAGGAGCATCGTGCTTCTTACCCTCACGTGATCTTATAATAATAGGATAAGTATTGGCTGTTATAATTTTTATTATTTTATTAAAATTTATAATCTCGTCAAAATCTCACCGGATCACTTTTTATTTTTTTTTTCAAATTGATTGAAGGATTCTTCTATTTTTTCTCTCTCTCCGTAACTTCTAACTCCCTTCTTTTTCTCTCATCTCCTTCGTCATTTTCTTCTCAACTAGGAGTTGCAACCTTTTTTTTTTCTTCTCTCTTCATCTCGGTTTTGTTTTTCAACTTCACGAATATTTATCCATGATTTAAAGGTGTATACACGTATATATATACTTTTTACTTTTTTATAGTTTTAAATGATTGTCGAGAAGTTGCCTAAATTGCATAACATTATTCTTTTTTCTCACTTATTGTTTCATTCTGTGTCTTATTGTCTTCTAATTTTAGATGGAGACTTCTGCAATTCGTTGTTCATAGCCTTTTTTAAGAATGTAATTGAAGAAGTTTTGAGACATGGATTAAAGTTGCTAAATTTTTTTCCCAACTTTTGCTTAAGATTATCGACCAGTGCAGCAAGTTAAAAAAAAAAGTAGAAGAAGATGAGAGAAAAAAAAAAAGAAGTGATTCTAACTAATTAAAAAACATTAAAAGAGATTTGAGGAGATTTTGACCAAATTATGGATTTTAATAAAACAATTAAAAAAGCAACAGCTTATACTTGTCTCCTTACTTGTCTCCTTAGGACCACGTGAATATAAGAAGCGCAATAGGACCACGTGAATATAAGAAGCGCAATGCTCCTACCGTTAAGGAGCGAAGTTTTTTCTTTAAATATATAGACTTTTTATCTTTTACACCTTATACAAATACCTCAAATGTCCTATTAATCCTCTCAAATTTAGTCGATGAGTTTGTTCTTTCTCATTTCTTAAAATTTGGTAACTCAAATCGGATATTAGCTCAAAATTTATTTTATTTGAGTTCACTGTCCATGGATACGTCAAAATAAACAAAAATGGATCTAATTTAGATGCCATACAAATTAATGAAAATTATTATATTCACAGAAAAATATACTTMATGGGTTGAGAAATGTTAATATGGGAAAGCTCTGACACTGATATTTCATTATTTTGAGCGATACTGATCAGAGTTTCAGAACTTGAATTGTTTGCTTAAAAATTGTTGTAAAAAGAGAGTTAAATCAAAGTGAACTTTTCCCAAATAAACCAAGAGAGAGAGAGAGAGAGA